TGTAGAATTTTTTTTTTTTTTTTGGTTAATAGAAAATTATGCTTTAAGGAGAGTATATCATAGAATAATAGAAAAAATAGGGCTTGAAAGGAACTCAGCAGGTCCAACCCTATGCTAAAACCAAGACCATACCCAACTAGGTCATGCCAGCCCAGCCAAAGCTATTTCTACCCAGGTCTTAAAAACCTCTCACACAAGGTTGGAGATTCCAAAACCTCTCTAGGTAATCTGTGCTTTACTAACCTCCTAGTGAGAGAATTTTTTCTAATATCCAACCTAAACTTCCCTTGCTGCCACTTGAGACCATTGCTCCCTGTTTTATCATCTGCCATCATTGAGAACAGTCTAGCGCCATTCTCTTTGGAACCAGCTTTCAGGTAGTATAAGAATGCTATTAAATCTGCCCTCAGCCTTCTCTTCTCCAGACTAAATAAGCCTAGTTCCCTCTGCCTCTCCCTGTAAGTCATTTGCCCCACCCCCTAACCATATTTCTTGCCCTCTGCTGGACTCTCCAATTTGTCCACATCCTTTCTATAGAGGGCGACCCAAAACTGGACACAGTACTCCAGATATGGCATTACCAGTGCTAAATAGAGGGGAATAAACACTTCACTTGATCTTTTGGCAACAATCCTACTAATGCAGCCCAGTATGCTGTTATCCTTCTTTGCAATAAGGGCACCCTGTTGACTTGCATTCAGCTCATTGTCCACTGTAACCCTAAGGTCCCTTTCTTCAGAGCTGCTGCCCAGCCCATTAGTCCCCAGCCTGTACTAGTACATGGGATTGTTCAGTCCTAGGTGCAGGACTTCACACTTGCCTTCTTGAAGATCATGAAGTTTCATTTGGCCCAATCCTCCAATTTGTAGAGGTCGCTCTCTCTGAATCCCAGCCCTACCCTCCAGTGTACCTACTACTTCAGCCAGCTTGATGTCATCCACAAACTTGCAGAGGATACACTCCATGCCATCTTCCAGGCTGGTGATGAAGATATCCAACAAAACCAGCCCCAGGATCAACCCCTGGGGCACTCCACTTGATACCGGTTGCCAAACAGACCATGAGCCATTGACTTCTATGTTTTGCTAGCCAGTTTTCTGTCCAACTTGGGTCAATTCATCCAATCTGTATTTCCTTAGCCAGCTTGTAAGAATGTTGTAGGGGTCCATATCAAAAGCCTTGCTAAAGTCTCATATATCTCATCCACTGCTCTCCCTGTATCCACAGAGCTAGTCATCTCATCATAGAAGGGAAGGTTGGTCTGGCATGAATCCATGGTGACTATTCATAATCATTTCTTCTCCTCTGAGTGCTTAGAAATGGATTTTTTGAGGACATGCTCTATAGTTCCCCAGATCCTCCTCCTTCCTGTTTTTAAAGATGGGCACTATAATTGCCCTTTTCTAATCATCTAGGACCTCTCCTAGTCACCACAAGTTTTCAAAGATAACGGCCAGCAGTTCTGCAATCACATGGGCCAACACCCCTCAGCACCTTTGGGTGAACCGCATCTGGCCTCATGTACATGTCCAACTTTTATAAATAGTCCCTAACATGTTTTTTCACCACTGTTGGCTACTCACCTGCTCCCAGACTGCTGCTGCCAGGTGCAGTAGTCAGGGAGCTGAACTTGCCTGTGAAGACTGAAGTAAAAAAAGACTTGAGTGCTACAACCTTTTCTGCATCATCTCTCACTAGGTTGCCTCCTCCATTCAGTAACAGACTCATACATTCCCTGATCTTCCTCTTGTTGCTGACATACCTGTAGAAACCATTCTTGTTGCCCTTTGCATCACTTGGTAGCTGCAAGTCCAACTGAGATTTGGCCTTCTCGCTGTCATTCCTGCATGCCATAGCAATACTTTTATATTCATCCCCAGTAGTTTGTCCAGGTTTCCACTTCTTGTAGGGTTCCTTTTTGTGTTTTATCTCATTGAAGGATTACCTGCTTATCCAAATTGGTCTCCTGCCATACTTGCTAGTCTTCTTATGCATCAGTATGTTTCATTCCTGCATTCTTAATAAGGTTTCTTTAAAGTACACCCAGGTCTCCTGGATTTCTTTTCCCCTCAGACTGGCCTCCCAGGGGTGAATGAGTCAAAGTCTGATTTTTCTGAAGTCCAGGGTCCTTACTCTGCAGCTCTCTTTCCTTCCTTTCCTTAGGATCCTGAACTCAATCATCTCATGGTCACTGCTGCCCAAGCTGCCATCTACTTCTACGTTCCCCACCAATTCTTCCCTGTTTTTGAGTAGCAGATTAAGAAGAGCATATAACAGAGAGCCTGGGACTCTGTCACTGCAAGGGAGAAAATGCCTAGGGAGATCCCTGCAGGGGAGAAGGGGCACAGCTGCAGCTGTGTTGCCATGAACCCAATTAATGAGCCTAATTAGAGGGCACCTACAGACAACCCCGGGCAAGTAACTTAACCATGAAGGGGAGAGGCCTGGGACATATATAGGCCAGGGCCCGAAACAGGGCAAGCAGCCTGGCCCTGGAGGCTAAGAGGGAATAGCTTATCTGTAGGTTGCCTGTGGCCGAGTGGCAGACTGTAAGTGCATCATTCCCAGAACAGAAAGTGAAGGGGCTGAGGGCTAGCAGCAGACTAAGGCCTATGATTGAGTAGGAGTATGTCATATGTAGCCAGGAGGCTAGAAGTTCAATTATAGCTAGAAGGGCTTAGGTTTTGGTTACAGTTTAGTTTGGTGGTTTGAGTGGGACTCAGAGGGGTCATTTTGAAGGTCCCATTAGCAGCTGAGAGGGACATGGTCTCCTTGAACCCTGCCTAGGGCAGGGTTAAGGCACAGACTGGGGGCCAGTGGGCCAAGAGCAGGCCTAGACTTGGGTGTCAAGGGACCCAGAGCCTGAGAAGGGCAGGACTTGGACATGGGGCTAGTCTATTCTTTACTGCAACAAAAAATGTTAATTTTTTTCCTTAAATAAATTTATTTAAGCAGCTTTTAAAAACAAAACTCAGTCTTTTCGGAAATTCCTTAGGATATTTCAGTAACACACCTCATAAAAGAGATCATAGGCAAATTAGAAAGTATATTTACTATGGTATATAGAAATGATAATAGCATGATCAGAAAGTGAATTGTGCAATGCCCATGTGTAAATGTTTCCTGCCAAAGGGTTCTTTTTTATGGTTTCTGTACCATCCTGTTAATTTATTAGAAATAATATGTAAATATAGGTCCCTGTTGGTCTCTCTCATCCCCCAAATTATTTCATAGTCAGGCAATTATTATATGCTAACGGGGAAATATTCTTTGGGCTTCAGAGTAGCTATCACAGGAATATTTTTTTAAATACTTTAAAAAAGCCTTTAAAATATCATTTAATTTGTATTGCATTGCCATTTTCATTTGTTTCGTGATTAGGATTAGGTTTCCTAATCTTTTCATCATGTAATGATAAAGTGTAGCTCATAGATTTTGTTTGGCCAAACTCAATGTGAAAGGAAAATTTCTTAAGCTCCTGCTAAGAAAATATGGAGTCTGAACTGAGCCTGGCTACAATTAAATTAAATAAGGGGGGAAAATGGTTCCTTGCAATGAGAGTTGAAAGTGCATTCCATGAAAAGAAATCTAATAGACTTAGACTCAAAATAAAAAATAAATACTGTGGTAATTTCTATTTAGAGTAATCTTTTTGATTGAAATGAAAGTAGGCAAACTCAAATATCTGAAATCATTTTTAGTGATTTTTTTCAAACAGTAAATGTATAACCTGATCTTTCCCCATGTCTGCTCCACCTTTTCTTTGGCATCTTCTGAGTTCTCTGACAGTACCTTAGCTGGAGTGAGAGAGCAAAGAGGTGGGGTAAAGGTGAACTGTTCTTGACGTAAGTCTGGGTGAATAGAAAAATCCTGCTGAAAGCTATTATACTGAAGTCCACAGCACCTGGTTGGTTTTAATAATGCAGAGTAAGTAACTTCCACCTCAGTTGGCAGACAAGTTGCATTTGCTTCATCTCATTATTGGCAGAACAAGATGAATAGAAACTCAGTATCATTCTTTGCTAACTTTCAATCTTTTATGGTACAGTACTTGAATCTGTGAATCATGACACCATCTGCACAGAAGGAGGATCTAGGACTTATGATGTTCTTCTTACTATGACACTAGTTTCCCAGTCATAAGTGGTTTTAAAAGCTTAATTTTTTATGTGAAGATGTTTCATCATTACCTGGCTTTTCTGAAGAGGGACCACAGTAAGGCTGTGATGCATCATCTTTTTTACAGTTTGCACATTTTGTTAAGAGTTCTGTTAATTAAGGGTAAATTAACCATAGTTGGACAAACAGGCACTAGTATGATGTATTGTTTAATCAGCTCAAAATCTGGCCATTCACAATGCTTGTTCCTTATCTGGTTTTGATTTTCTTTTTGCATCTTGTCCTGACAGGTGTGTGCCAAATCACTGTGAACATGGTGGTAAATGCACCCAAACCTGGGACGGCTTCAAGTGTACGTGTGATGGAACTGGATACAGTGGTGCCACTTGTCATAATTGTAAGTGATACTGTAAATTGTTTCCCAGGCATAATATAGAATGGACATATGTAATGCTGATGCTTTTTTGTTGAGATGAACTAAAATTTAAACTCGCTAAAGAAGCCCATGCTATTTTTTAGCACGTGGAGGAGAAAAAAGGATATTTACCTTGGTGTTATGTCTACCTTTCAATTGCTACCTAAAATTCCACCCTGGAGTTTCAAATGGATGCAATGATTCTCTCCTAACCAATTATTGGAAGCTCTGCCACTGGTGATAACGTAAGATCGATAATACTGAAACATATAAGCAAACTGATCCTTCTGACAATTTTTCAGTTAAACTATTACCTATATTTTAGTAAGTACTACAAGCAGCAGTGTTAACCACTTACGTTCCTGTACTAACTGCAGCTGCTGCTTCTTGATATCCTAGAGATAAGAAGCTAAGAAAAGGGGTCCTTGCATATTATACAGAAACTAGCATACATGTGCAGGGCCAGCTACTGTGGGGTTCTTGCAGGGGGGTGTTGGTTCAGTCTCCTAGCAAACTTTTATACTTCTCACTTTGAAAATGTCCATTATTTTGTCACTTTCTCCATGTATGTGCTTATATAACACATTCTTCATATTAAGGAGAGAATGAATAGGTAAGATTTGCCAGCAGAACTGCAAACAGGGTATTTCTGAAGAGGTAGAAAATCCAATTTCCAGTCTACTTCAGACTTTCATATTTCCATTTGCTCTATAACATTTACTTGAAGCTAGAGCTATATGAAATATTGACCTGCAAATCTGAAAGGTGCAACCTGTAGTTTTTATCTTCTGTAGGATTTTACTTACACCGATGAAAAATGGTGATACTTTACATGTTTTCTGTCTGTCCTCAAAATCTGTTCTGTATTTGAGTGAAAACTTCTTTGTGAACGTGAATATAACTCTTATCTTGTAAAACAAACAAACAAAAACAGTTATATTCTGGGGGACAAGGAACACTTTCTGAAACGACCCCCAACATTTGCTTTTAAATGCATCATTGTTTAATGATTGAGATATATGATATTATTCAGAAATCAGCAATACAGCAGTTCACAGGCAAATGAACAAGTTTTTGGAGAGTGGTGGGTACAGCTTCCTGGTGCAAGTACTAAAGAGGCCAACTAGGGACTGTGCTTTTCTTGACCTGCTGCTCACAGAAGAGGCATTGCTGAAGAGCCTTATGTCTAGCTTGGTTTTGGAGTTCCTTGATGTTAAATCTCTTCTGCATTCCTTTCAGTTGTTTGCAGTGTCATGGTGCAAGCTGTATGTCAGCTGATCTAACTAAATGGTGGTCCATCCAACAGTCATCTGCACCTCTCAAGACTTGGGTGATAGGGACATCAATATGGTCACAGCTTTGACAATAATATAGTCAAAAAGGTTCCAGTGATTGCAGCGTAGGTGTTTTCAAGTGGTCTTGTATTTGTCACTCTGTCTGAAGATAGTATTCATGGTGAACAAGTCATGCTCTGAATATTTGCTGAGGAGAAAGGTACCAATGACTTTCCACACCCCCTCTTTGCCAATGGTGCCACTCCAGAGTTCAGAGTGTTGCTCAACTCTTGTACTGAAGTCACCCATGAGGATGAGCTTGTCTTCCTTGGCAGTGGCAGTCTAGACTGTGTCAAGAGCACAGTAGAACTGTTCCTTGTTGACTTCATTGTCATCAAGTGTGGGGGTGTATGCACTGATGACTGTAACATACTGGCTGCTACAGAGCTCAAGGCAGTTATACTAGATTGTAACATTTCAAAGAGATATGATGAATAGGGCCCTGAGAAAATTGCAATTTCATGGACTTTATGGATACCATGAAATTAGCCCTTCACCGTGATTTTTAAGGGTCCTGAGCCTGTGCCAGAAAACTGCATGAAAATGCAGATTTCCCTTTGCAGGCTTGCAGCATTCACAGCCTGCAAGCAGCTACTGGGGGTGTGGCCAGGATGCATCCAGGCAGCCAAATGAAGGTAAGTGTATCATTTTTCATGGAAGAGTCACAGAAGTACCGGGACCGATTTGCCAAGATCAGTGGTAGTTCCATGAATATTCTGTGAAAAATGATACCTGCACACATTCCACAAATTTTCTACAAGCAAACCACAATTTTCTCAGAGCCCAAATGATAAGTAAATGATGTTTTATTACAGAGAAGACATGCCATATATATATATGACCAAATATGTAGTCGCTATTCAAAACAAACTCCTAGTAAGAGCAAGGCAAGGAAAGGCAAGGATCTATGCCATTTCATAATTAAGTAGTATTTTGGCAAAATAAGGAAAATAATTTTATATATTTATTTGTTGAGCCCTTGAACTATGATTTTTTTTTCATGTGCTCTGCCATATTAATGCAACCACAATGAAAATCATTCTTTTGTATATGTGAAAAATATATTTAGTTGACTGAAAAAAATGCAGGCAGGGAAAGTTAGTTATTTAAACATGTTTTGACTGTTTAATGGGTTTTTGAAAATACATAAGTATAAGTTACCTTTCCTCCTTTAGTCCCAAAGAGAAAGCACAGGGAGACGGGATCGTGTTCATTACACAGGAAACTATAATAATCCAGGTAGCTGAGCATTTTTTTCTTAATAGAATTTTCACCTGTCCTCTGTGGGTAAAATAATACAATAGGGGAAGGAAAAGGTGCTACTAGCCCAAAGTATCAAAAGGGGATTTAAAGTTCATTGGCCTCTTTTTCAGATACAGTAGGGATAAAGCACATAGGATTACAGCTTTGCAGGTCACCTAGAGAGGCAGCCCAGGAACCTTTACCTTTGTAATGCAACCAAAGTTTCAAACTAATCCCTTTCTTGATGTATTGCTTTGGAAAGGCTGCTAAAATTTCTTTAAAGGATTTAATTTCAGTTTTCCCATGAATGTTCCTGTATTTTTTTAATTGTTTTCTTCTCTTCAGGGGGAAAAAATCTCTTCTGGCCAAAACTTATTTGCTGACTTAAAAAAACCAAAACAACAAAAGCTGCTTTGTGAGGGCTAATGCCATTTTAGGATGTTCAATTCAATGATGCTCAGACCAAGAGATAGAGTATTTATGGACGTGCCCATACAACATTTACTTACATCCACTGGAGCTGGCAATAGCCACTACAAATTATCTGCAGGCTGCAGGCACACTAACTTGTAATGTTTCGTAGATGCAGTCCTTCCTTCCTTTTCATTTCCTTGTGACAAAAAGAATTCACAGCTTTGTTGGAATTTGACAGGGCCACACTGTGAATGCTTCTTCTGTGTCCTCAAATTTGCAATGTCTAGGCTGTCAACCATGTGCCTTAGTAACCATGCCATCTCAGCCCCTGTAGCTGCAGTGATTCTGTGGAGTAGCCTCAACAGAGGGTGTAGGTGGGTCGTCTTTGGTAGTTTCCAAAAACAAAAATTTTGTCCTAGGAAAGATGATACATTTCTTTCTTGCAATGGCGGTCCTTTTTCCTAATTCTTCAGTGTTCAGCATTGCCTGCCAAGACAGATTTCAAATGTGTATTTGTATGGGACATTATTTGAAGAAGGCAGCATTAAATTGCATTGCCATATACTTTCATTCTGAATTTCCTGATTTTTCAGATATTCAAGTTTTTCTGAATTGGACTCTAAGAAAGAGCACAACACATACAAAATAACTTCATTTCTGCATATTAGTGATTTTTTTTATTGGTGAATTGATTTTTGGTTTGGACTGAGAATTCTGCACTTTTCTGTGCTTTTGATCCAAAACCAGGCAAAGCTTTGCAACTTTGGCTGAATTTCATTTTTGGGAGTGTTTGAAGCTGAAACTCAAAGCCAAACTCAAGGGATAGCTTCCTTGAACTAAAACAGAAAAAAAAGTCTGCAAGCAACCCATATGAATCCAAATGGCTTTATTTCACAGTCCTGGTTATAATATATTTATCAAATGGCAATGGAAGCCACAATATCTAAACCCTGACAGACCTGTCAATCCCATTGTAGACCCCTCTAGTCCCCCAATCTCTCCAAGCCCCCCACAAATCCCACCTTCCCCCTCCAAACCCTCCCATGGATCCCACATTCCCCCTGAT